TGTGTGTGTGTGTGTGTGTGTGTGTGTGTGTGTGTGTGTGAGTACACATGTGGAGGGGAACTCCTGAGTGGTATCTGGAGATAGCCAAGGGGTGGGGGTGTCTCCAGGGCCTCCCATCATACCCTCCAGGTGGACAGTTTCATGTAGGGTAGTAGCACCTTCAGATCTTGGTGACCAGAATAGTGTCCATGGAGCCAGACCTTGGAAGTTGGAGGGCAAAGGTGACCACATCATGGACAGTGGCTTAGTGCTGCTTAATGACGGATGCATTAAAGAAGTTGCTGGTCTCAAGATGAGTGATTACAGGGGTGTGGCAGGCAGCCATGTACACATCCACCTCTCCAAGAAGTCACAGGAAATATTCTTCAGGTTCTTGAGGCACACAGTGTCCACAAAAGAAAGGTTACTCAGGTCCAGGACGAGGCTGTGGAAGTCGGGCTGTGGCAGGCTGAGGGCCTTTAGTGTGGACCCGCCTAGGGCCTTGGCATCTTTTTGGTTACTGGCTGCTGTCCCTTCTGGCTCATCTTCTGGAAAACTGGACATGCTGCAAGGATTGTCCCTGACCCTAGACTTCTCCACACTGTTGATCTCAGTAGCCCCAGGACTGGGTATTGACACTGATGAAGAATGAGGTGCCCTTGGAGGAGGCAGCCTGTTTCTCAGGCTGCTTCTTCTACCCTTGATATAGATTTTTTTTTGTAAGTTTCATTTTATTAAATGGGACTGAAGCAGACATCGTGGTGATTAAAGAATTTAGCCAAGATGGCTTAGACTTCTAGCCCACCAAGATCTCCCAACACAACAGGTGGGTACCAAAGGACTATCTTGAAGGAATGGTACAAATGAAAGAACTTAAGTGGGTATTTTGGTACAACTTATAGAAACGGTAAAATAAACAAGACATGCAGGTGGCCTGGTAGTGACCACGGAGTCACCCCTGTGGCTGTGGGGCTTGATATAGATTTTGAATACCAGGGAAGTCTGGTAGCTTAGTGGTAGGAGCTCCACTGTCAGTTAGGTGCCATCTGGTTGGTTCTGCCTCCCAATGATCCTATGAATGAAACACTGTACAGTCCCATGCCCTCCTCACAGCCATTACAACGTTTGAGCCCATTACTGTCATCACTGTATCAACCCATCTTTTCAAGGGTCTTCCTCTTTTGCACTGACCCTCGACTTTACCAAACATGGTGTCCTTCTCCAGGGACAGGTCCCTCCTAATGTCCAAAGTGTGGGAGACAAGCCATCCTCACTTTTAAGGGACCAGTCTGTTTGTACTTGTTTTAGGACAGATGTGTTTGTTCTTCTAGCAATTCCTGGTATCTTCAATATTCCTCATCAATACCATAATTCAAAGACATCAGAGTACTATTAAAATACTCTGTCTGGGGGAGCTCTGGTGGCCTAGTGGCAAGAAACTGCACTGCAATCCCGGAGATATGTGGTTTGAATCCACCAGATGCTCTGCCGGAGAAGGAGGGGCCCTCTCCTCTTGTACCAGTCAGATCCAATTTGACGGTACACACACAGAGAAAATAATAAAATAAAAAGAAAAAAAATACTCTGTCCTTTAAAATAAACAGTCTTTTGCAGTAGATTTGCCCAATGCAGTACATCATTTGATTAAGATCACTGCATTCTTAAAACAGACATTTGGGAGGCGGGGG